CTTTTATTTAAAGTATGTGATTCTTTTAAAGTTTGTGATTTCTCGTGCTCACTGTGACTGTATGGCATTCTTATACTATACATTAACCACTATACAGCTAAGGAAAGCTATTAATTATTTGTATTGCAAAATCGTGCTTTGTCGTCTTGTTTATTGCCGTTTCTAATACTTTAAACAAACATACGATCAATAGACCAATTAATGTTTGTTCGCAAGTTAATTGGTCCTCTTTGTTGTATAAAGTAGTTTCAATGGTCAATTTTTAAACCAATGCTTAAACCGATACATAAACATTATGACAGAAACTTGCTAAGCCATTTACGTTACGTCAATATTGCATCTAGCCATATACATTAACAATGGAACAGTATCCCAGATCATGACCCTACATTATTTTGTAAAGTCTGAATCAGTTTTTATCCACATTATGCTTTATTTAAGATTATTTTTGCTTTGGCTAAGAATGATTTGGTTCCATTCTTCTGATTTATTTTTATTATTTTAAGACTGTAAGAAAACATTTCCCTAATCTTTGCCTTGCAGCCCGTTGTATGGGTTCGGAATCGGTATACATATTTTTTCCAACAAATTTTTCCACCGTAGCAATATCGATGTAGATTGTGTTACCAAAAACTGTCGAAATAATTAGATCAGGCTTGATTTAGATTCAATCAAATGTGTTTTGATGTAATTTGATTTTCAAAATATTGAGCTACTTTTTGACCCGTTGATGACTTATGTCCGATTTTCTGTACCATAGGTTTATTGTCTTGTGTGACAAGGACTAAAAAAAGTTAAATATGCAATTTTATTTCAGAAGTCGATTGGCTTAAGACTCCATGTTGCTTGATTAATTATTAAAGAGGAATGCTTGATTGATATCATAACTTTTAACAATTCTTGAACTTAAAGTGTAATTTGTTCGATTTTCAATTTATGTAATCTATTGAACCCAGTTGAACTATAGGTATCACTAACCGAGAATAGATAATAAACATGTGTTTAATTCGATATTAAATGTAACTTTTATATCAGTTTAATCAATACTTGTATTTAAATCAAGAAAGATATATGACATTTTACCAAATACATAATTCTATTAAGAGTGAATTCGAAAAGATTTTGCATTAATTTAATGCGTTAATACGTGATAAAATTAGATTTTAATATCGCACCATCGTACGATTTGTGACCACGAGGTTTTTAAAAGGTTATATATTTATAAAACATACACTAGAAGGCACATTTGACCTAGCTCTTTAAAAATAAGTAAACAAAGAACGACTACTTGAACTGCGTAGATCATAAACATGTATATGTGTATCTTTCATCGGATGTATGTATAAAGCAAATTTATAAGGTACGCATTTTAATATATATTTCATGATTGACTTTAATATCTGAATAAAAATAGAATAGAGAATAGTTTATATTAATGTTTCAGGGTAAATCATATGTACAACAGAGAAATAATCATAAAAACAATGACACTAATTAAGTCTTGTTTCTAGCAATGTAATATAAGATGAATTAATTACATGTACTATGTTGTTTATATAACATTTTTACTGTACAAAAGCTGTATATAGGTTTCTTTAGTGTTGTTTTCAACACTATTTAACTTCGAGATAAATTACATGTAAGTTTCTGAAGGGTACGTGTGACCTTTTTGCACTAATGATGTAATTATGATATAGAAACAAATATGTAACGAAAAAGCCACATTATGAACTATAAGTATATACAAATGTTATTGTTTTATATGATGAGTCATTTAAGACTCTCATATATAGATAAAATATATGATTTAAATGTTGTAGAACGCATACGGTCTGGTATATACTTTAGGTTCAATCAATATGTGCCTGCTAGCACTTAATCCACATTAAGATCTATATATCAATTGATGAAATCTGGCAATAAATTAATATAATGAATAAATCATGTGAAGTATACTTAAGGATGTGTTAATTTATAAGCGCTTCACTGATTTATGAATGTTGGGGACATTCACTTATTGTAATCTGACGAAAAAGTGATATTTTCAATTGGTCATATTGTTTTTAAGACCCCCAGCTCTCCACGTGACACGTGTGGTTGACATCTTTTTTATGCAGAGGGAGTTCGAACCTACAGACACTTGATATGCGAGCCACCCTCCCCCAACTTCTTCATCGACAGAACCGAACATATTTTTTTTCTTTTTCTTCATCAGCCCGGGCATGATTAATCGAAGCTCGGGAAATTATATATGTTTTCTCATTATAATTTATTACGTCATTGTCACGTGTCTAGAATATAAAACGTGCTCTCTGCTGTTTCTAGAATGTTTAACACGCCTAAAAATTAAGAAAATTGAGACCTGGATTATAAAAAATGATTTGAGCCGCGTCACGACAAAACCAACATAATGGGCTTGCAACCAGCATGGATCCAGACCAGCCTGCGCATCCGCGTAGTCTGATCAGGATCCATGCTGTTTGCTATCAGTTGCTCTACTTGTTATACAGTTTGTAAGCGAACAGCATGGATCCTGATCAGACTACGCGGATGCGCAGGCTGGTCTGGATCCATGCTGGTCGCAAGCCCATTATGTTGGTTTTGTCGTGACACGGCTCATTTTTCTTTTTCCAAAGCGTAATTTTATTCTGAAAACTAATACGACGTCTATGAAAAGTGTTTGTAAAAATATTGAGTAATAATGTGTAATTCTAGAAGGCTAGGGTATCATGTTTGTGCATTAATATTGGTAATACAAATATTATAGGCAAAAATGTATGTTGAAATGAAAGAAAGGGAGATATTTACAATTATTCAAATTGTCACCTATTTTTCATATTTTGATTTTCAATTTCCGTAGACAATTTTCAAGCTCTGCCATTACCATATTCTCAACCGCCTTTCGACAGGAGGGGTGGGGGTTAAAAAGACAGTAAATTCTTGATCTCTTATTAAACCGAGATTGCTTAATGACATACAAATAAGAGTTAATCATTTGGGCAATTGGTTTATCGATACATGGTTAATTTTTGAATTGTATACAAGTATTTTTAAGTACTGAAGGAAGGCGATTTCCGAAATTTGAATGTTTTTTTTATTAATATTAATATATTAATGAGTTATCACTCGAAGAACCAACACCTTAAAGAAAAAGATATGTAAGAGTGAAGTTATAAAAAAAGACTTCTTGCGAGACTGTCACGCTACGCTACTAATTCACAGTTTTTAAAAACGTTTAAAACCAATATAATGGTTAAAATTTATCTTTTTTTCACTAGCACGTGTGATGTTTTTAATACATATATGAACCAATACAGAATGAAGTTTCTCATATTTATTTAATTTACATATTTTTGGTCTGATTTACGCACAATATTGAACGGAAGACTGGTTTCATGAATTCCCGATTTCATCTGCGTGAATTTACAATTTGAATGTTATGATTTTAAGTTTTCAACATACGAAATTCACGGTTTTAACTTCATGAATTCGCGATTTCAACTTCCTGAATTCAACTTTATGAATTCATGTTTTGAACTTCACGATTTCAACTTCACGAATTCAAGATTTCATCTTTACGAAGTTGAAATGTTGCATTTATGGTGCGGGGTTGTTGGGGTTGAGCAGAGGAGGTTATGTTTTTATACGTCACCACCAGTCTTTGGTAATATGGTTACGCGTATGCATATTGTTGTTCTTTGCAATGGCCGACTTAAGAAGGCTACAATGTATCGTCTGCTAAACCAAGTAAAAAACACAATTTCGGTAAGTTTGGTATCCATAACAAATTGACATTTATTTTGCAAACAGTGCTTTTAAGAATACAATATGAAGAATAGACCCTACAAAATATGTTTGCCTTTGGAATTAAATGGTCGGTTTCTGTACAGTAGTACTCCAAAACCACATCAAACAAATACGGTTTTGTTTATTTGGTACATTCTGTTATTATGTCACTACTGGACGGAGAGGGATCGAGAAAATATTTTGAAAAAAGATTTGAACAATACGCCCTTAAGCGCGTATTGTTTATATAAATGTAAGATTGAAAAGAACTGATTTCTATATTCAACAAAATTGTTTAAATTTGCTAGCAACAACAATAACAATAAAGACTTAATACATATTCAGTTGAATTGTTTAAAGTAACTTTTTCTTGCAGTTGGAAACATGTATATTAGTACTAAAATGTGAATAAATTGTAATTAGGATGGTGCAGAAGCTGCAATGTTCAAAGTATTAATTTCTGTTTAATAAGGGTAGATAGACATTTTGTTAAAGTGGGCCGTAAGGTGCGATGCATGAGAACTTTTCTATGTTTAAAAAAATAATAGTTTTATCATATTTTGGTGTTGGATATTGTACACGACCGAATCTAATTTTTATCAAACATAAATGAGAAAACAACATTACATAAATTACTAATCTGTCTTGTTTAATGAAACGACTTTAGTAAGGTGGTGGGGACTGGTCCGTTCCTAACCCATGTGACATTGTCTCGTGTATTTTGACGTTTAGCCAGTGTTTTTCATTTGTTAACACGGTGGTCTCTTACTTGTGCAATAGTTAAACATAGAGGTTGGGTGATATAAGTTCTTTTATGGAGGTCATAAAAAACTGTTTTTTCTTTGTAATTTATATACCTTTCCTGTTTTTAAAGGACATACATTTTTATAAGTGAAACAGGATAGTATTGTAACAATTAAATTAAATAATTGTCTCCAACAACTTATATTCAATTTCGAGTTTATTTGCCAGTAATTATGATTTTAAGTTTGCCAGAATCAATGCCACATAGTCTATGTAAATACATTAATAGTTCATCAATACATTGACAGAATGATTTAAGCACAATTAACATAAAGAGTTCAGTCAATTATTTTTGTAATTCAATCCTTAACAAAGAAACAGTAGAATCAATAGTTCTACGTTAAACACATTTACAACGGCCTCGTTTTGACTTAAAGTTATGGCATGCGCCCATCTACTAGTGTAAATTTTATGCGTTCAAATTCTCGTACTTATTAAGTTTTTAGATGCCATAAATTAATAGAGCGTGCTCCGATACTTCTTTAAAATAAAATACATGTACATGTATTATGTTTAAGCTTTCAACCCCGTTATGCGATATTTGATGTTATTCATATATGTAATTGAAACCCCAAGGACTTAGGAAAGAAAAACGATATATCACACATAGAGCGCCCAAGCTTATGTGAATGTTAACATTTTTTAAAAGCTGGTAGTTGTTTTGGGAACAGGAACTACTTATAGATATATATACCAATGTTTTAGAAGAGTATGTTGGTATACCGACATGTGTACATGTATATATGTATTATATAATTGGATTACTACTAAGCTTTGTTTTATTCAAGGTAATATTTTATTTAAATATTTTTTTATTTTTTTTTTATTTTTATAAATTTATGTAGTCAGCCGTGTATAAAATATACTAGTAGTCGTAAATGGTATTTTCTTTCTCAAGTTGAAGGATAAAATTCTGCTCGCTTAAAAGGGAAATACCTGCCTTTTGTTTGATTTAAAGAGAGAGAAAAAAACAGATCTTTAAGTACAAGCACTTTCTATTCAATGCACGTGATGAATGAAAACTATAATATAAGATATAGATGTACATTTTAAAGTCCTTATCAGACTCTGGACGTATGACTCAATGTAGACATTTAAATTATTTTATATTTTTACATGTAATTCTAAATCATTGCTCTTACCATTGTTTTTAAAATACGAAGATAAACATTATGTAAGACGTGTCTTTACGCGTGCTGTTGTATTTTGTTTATTAAAATCTTTGCTATTTTTTAAAGAAAGAGAAAACTTTATGAAAAAATGTTACAAAATATGTAACATCAGTCTTTGATAGCGTGTATCAAAAACATATGTTTATACATTTTCAGTTGATTCATTGATTCAAAACAATCAATGAAGAAAAGATGGTGGACCGTTAAAAATCCGTGTCAAATAAGGAATTATTAAAATATTGCCATTTGCTATTGGCTTTACATAGAAAAATTGGTAAAAATGTAGACAGTAGATTTTTTTCTCTCAATTATGAGATTTTTCAAAGCATTATCAAAATACTTTCTTCTGTATAAATGATAAACATTTCCTCGGCAAGTTAATGACAACTTCTACATATGACCAGTGGGAGAGGCCAAGTGGCATGATCCAAATTGCTGCTTTCTGAATTGTCTTAAAGAAAATATGGTATATCCTAGAAAATAATGCGCCTGCACACACTGATCATAATCTCTCAAGTTAAAATATATAAGCCGCGTCACGACAAAACCAACATAATGGGTTTGCGACCAGCATGGATCCAGACCAGCCTGCGCATCGGCGCAGTCTGATCAGGATCCATGCTGTTCGCTATCAGTTTCTCTACTTGTTATAGGGTTTGTAAGCGAACAGCATGGATCCTGATCAGACTGCGCGGATGCGCAGGCTGGTCTGGATCCATGCTGGTCGCAAACGCATTGTGTTGGTTTTGTCATGACGCGGCTCATATGTAAAACAGGTAAAGAGCTGGAAAACAGGAATACAGTATTGAAATAAAGCTTTGTTTACACACCTCATTTCAGGCGTATAAAGATTATAGAAGGATGCCGAATTATGCTATGGTGATCTATGTGTTAGTGCTGGTGATGGACTTGATAGTAGGAGGGTCAATCATATTATGGAAATGTTATATCAGGTACTGAACTTTACTGTAGCATTATTTTATAATTCACTGTAGCAACCTATAATAGTCATAAGAAAAAAAGACTACTTCTAATGCCGCCAAGAACACGATTCAAGTACGCAAAGTTCAAAGAAAAATAATGTATCTTTCCGATTCCATCTGGTGTGTTTTGCGCACTATTTATGTATAAGGCATGAATGTCTCGGCAGATAACAAATGAGCCGCGTCACGACAAAACCAACATAACGGGTTTGCGACCAGCATGGATCCAGACCAGCCTGCGCATCCGCGCAGTCTGATCAGGATCCATGCTGTTCGCTATCAGTTTCTCTACTTGTAATAGAATTGGTAAGCGAACAGCATGGATCCTGATCAGACTGGTCGCAAACCCACTATGTTGATTTTGTCGTGACGCGGCTCAAATGTTTATTCTTTTTACCATAAGGATGATTAAACAAAGCGAAAACGTTCTTTCATCAATTGTCTACATTCGTAACTGATATGTTTTAAGTGAAACGTAATCTCTTTCTATGACTTTAAGGAGAAAGATTATGTACAAGTTACAGTAAAGTTCCTGTACATTCTTCCATTTTAGCAAATCAGAAGAAGAGTGTGAACTGGCGACAGGAGGGGCACTTGGCAGTATTATAATATGGTTAATGATAATGCTCGTGTGCCCGTGCTTTGCAGTAAGTTTCACCTTGCTGTCTTTGTATAACAAACACTCAAACCTTCCTATAAAGAGCACGTAAAGCAAATATAAAGAACTTAGCACCAGAATCTGGTCCTTATTAAAGCTGATTTTGCTCAAATTAAAAGATTTACTAGCATACAATTTGCCATGATGACCGATTGTTCTTTACTTGGTCTGTAAGCACATGTTTTACTGTAGACAATTTTGTAACGTCTGCTACTTGATTGACTTTGGTAACAGCTTTTCTTTTTTTCTGAAAATATTCGTTATGTCACAGATAGACATACGTTTAATTAAGTAACCTTGATGTAAATGTTTGTCTATATTTTCGCATGAAAGCTAAAACCATACATATCGAGGTGTTGTGTTTCATTATGTGATTATGAAAGGAGAAATGAATCTAACATACAGCAACTATATATCAAACTTGTCGTGAATTTAATTGTCCACATTCCTTAGTGAAATGTATCACCTACGTATAGCCTTACAAAACAGTGTATGAGTTTCCCGTACAAGTCTCCGAGCTATGTTGACCGTACGTTATTTAATGATCAAATCCTATTATTACGTAAACATGCTTTACTCACATAAGTTCGATGATCTAGGTTCTTAAATATCTCGTAGTGGTACAACTTAAGAACTTAAAACTTGATGTCACCACGTGCATTAAAAGATGTTTATATTCAAATATAATGAAGTACACATGTAATAGTAACTAATGTATATACTATTAATTGGTTAACTTTTTCAGACTCGTATAGAAATATGCCTGACCCTGGACAACCTAAAGAAGAAATGTATCCAATATACAAGGAAGACACGTGACATTGTCATCCAGAACGAGGCTAACAATTCTACAACAACAACACTGCTAAGCAACGGTCAAGGTAATGAGACATTCTTAATGTTTCTCATATGTAACATTTACTTTCACCGTACAAAATCCACATTTTTGCGTCTAACATCGTAACATATTCTACAGATTTCCATACAAAACATTTTTTTCTTGGAGACCGTCTGTGCATTGTTAAGGCATCAAGGGTTCGAGCCCTACAAGTTTTACGGTCATGTTTCCTCGTACTTCACTAAATAGCCGAATTAATAACATAGGGTCGTGTTACTATAAATATCATATCATGTACATGCGGTATACATTATACTCTTAAAGAACTGTATTAATCTGCACAACATAGCATCCATACCGCACATAATTTTCAAAAAAGGAAATAAGAATAAGTATTATGTAAAGGTAAACATATGATAGCGACAAACAAAATAACAGTGTCTTTGTATAGTTGTCTTGGAGAATTTAATCCAATATTGAGCAGTATTGAGTAAAACGTTCGTACGCTTTTGATATTTAATTTGAAAATTAAACTTAATTTGTCCTGAAATTGTGTATTTTGTTAGATTTAGTTAACTATGCTTAAAGGCCCATTATGTCTTAGATATGATTTTATTTTTATTGTCTAAACAAGCTTTTTTTATACTTTGGTGAACTTTTATAGTATCCAAACAGTTAATCATTGCATGCCAATTATACCTGTCTGATTCATGCTTTTTTTCATCTTTTGCTTTTTGGCATTAAGTATAATATTATGTAAAGTAAGTTAATATTTTGTATGGAAGTCAAAATACTAATTTGTTTACATTGATACTTTTATTACAAATATTTTCACATTTATCGCTACTTTCTTCAAGTAACAAGCATCTAACATTCTCTAAAACCATTATTTAAACATTATAAAATTCACGTTTGCTCTTCCTCAAGAAGTTATATTTATATGTTTCTGAGGCCTAATGTGCCTTTAAAGCAATATCTATGATGTCAGACATCTCAGTTAAACCTAACATGCTAATAAATTATTCGAGTCTCGACTGGACAGGGTTTTGGTTTGTGAGTATGTAAATGTAAATATTTTTTTCTAACCTGACAGATTTTTTTTCATATTTATTCAGCAAACGAGCATTGTGAAGCAAAACCGATTTTAAAACTATTCTTATTTGATATCTATGGTATGTGTGTTTACATCAGGAATTTTGTCCCATTTTATAAACCTACCCGCATATGACCGTCAATGTTAAATATTGCGCTTGTAATTCTATACGATCCTATTCAAATTTTTTTCAATAGCCTATCCAGCATTTATATAGCTCCAGGAGAGCAAACTACACAACTAAACAGCAAGTATCGACAAGCCCACTATAAATCAATAAGGAGAAATGAAAGAGAAATTTTGTTTTAACCTGTATTTATTATCATAAGTATTTTTAAAGGCCCATTAAGCCAAAAAATCCTATCATTTTTATATTTCACTAAAAACTTAAAATTTTTGGTATGTTGTAACAGTTTCTATAAACACCCATTTGCCATACACATGATCTTTCTTTTTTTCTTTTGCTTTGATGGCAATTGGCATAACTTTAAAATTCCCATAAACATAGGTTAACAACATATATCTTTTTTTTTCTAAAAATGTCATAATTTATTATGACAATTGTAAAAAATGCAATTACAAAGAATTGTTACTCAAGGAAGGGAAAGTTTCTTATTCATTTTGCATACTTAACATCGGGTACATGTATATGGTTTATGAACGTATAATCATAAGAGCATAATAAAATATCACTTTGCATATTTTAAAGCAGATAATTGATTCACACTATTTTTATGATGATAATCAAGTGCCATAAATCTATACATCTATACCACCCTTCATTTAAACCTTGTTGAAGATATTCACATTATAAAATCTCTTGCCGCGTTTATGTTAAAAACGGCAGAATCTGATTTATAGTGTGTCTGTATAACTTACATAATTACCATAATAATTCTATTTCTTCTTTATTTTCAGATTCGAAACCCCACCTACGCTCAAATGTTTACATATTTAATGAAACACAAGGGAAGGGGGATTTATCAACGAAATTGCAAGCGGCACATATACCTAAAACTCCAGTGCTACTAACAAATGGGTTGACAAATACAACAGATGTCAAATATCAACAAGATGTGCCTTGATTGCTGACGATACACCACTTACGATCATGAAAATAGACACGTGGTGTCAACAGAAGCTGGTACAAGCATGTTCATTGGTCAGTGTTGAAGCATTACACCAGTTTTGCTTTAAATCTGATGGAAGGATAAACCGGAAATTGGTACCATACATGTATTTGTGAAGTTCAAAGCTCATTCAGCAGTCGGTGGACAGTGTTCATGAACGACTCTTGTACCTCAAGAGCCGAGCGAATCGCACGGAATACACCCATGAAGCTTTCATGTTGCAGTATTGCCACTCGTGTGTTAAATGTTATCCGACCAAATCATGCCGTCGTAAAATTCTGCAATACTAGTATTTTGTTACTTTTAGATTCATCTCCAAATTTATAAAAACATGACTAAAATTGATTGAGAAAAAAAATGTATGCAAGTGATCATCGCAAATTGCGTTCTTCTTTTTCAAAATTGTTTGTTAGATAAAGGACATTTAAACAAAACTATGAATTTGTTTCTATTATTGAATCAGAAAATTATTTCAAAACATGTTTTTTTTCTTATAATATCGTTTTATAGAACACATGTCACTTTTGAATCATTAGGCACATCAATTTTAGGTCAACTTGAAACGTATTTTCAAACCACTATTCCCGGAAGTAACCGGTACTGGTGTTATCATGGTGCCGAAACCACGTGACTTTTTGTGCTGTGCGTATACAAAAAAAAGTTCCAATTTTTATTCTCTGCCATAACTTTTCAAATATTTCATTATTTATTATGGAATAAAGTGTAGAGACCACTCATTCTAGTGTGAGGAACCCATACAAAGAATGTTTCCTAGAAAAATGTGTAACCGCGTGAAAATCTGATTATTAAAACACGCGTTTTCACTATCCGTAAAACCTGGGACAAAAAATATATGATGTATATTTTTGGTCCCAGGTAAAGCATACTGATTTCCCCCTGAAACATTTCATGTATGTGTTACTAGAATGAGAGAGTTCTACACTTTATCTGATAAAAAATAAGAAATATTTAAAAAGTTATAAAAAAAGAGTGTATATTTTGTGAGTTATAGAAAAAACTGTCGTTTGTGTTGAGGTTTTGTTTGTTTGTCCCACGCAGATCATAAGGTGTCGTAGTATCGGCAGCATGGTCATATGAGGAAACATGGTCATCATCCAAACACGTGAAACATAAGTTGAGAGATAACAAATGCTTCCACAAATGGTTCAAAGTAGGCGACAGTAAGCCTTCGTTCTGGAATAGGATCATTGGCAAAATACCACAGAAAATCACTTTCTGAATTAACATCATCATACATTAAAATGTCTCTGAATTTAACAGGCATACAACGCACAGACCACACTGCGTTATTTGAAAACCTTAACTCTTGGACAAGTGAGTTAAAACACAACTAGAAATGTGTCCATAGGACACGGGTGCCCCCACCGCGCCACTGTTCTGTCAATCTTATGAACTCTAGGTCAACTATTTTTTTGAAAACTAAAACTCTTTTACTAAGTAAAGGGCAAGAACTTAACAAATATAAATTCACAAGCAAATCCCAAGGTGCATAAGTACACGTGCTGACCAACATTCTTGTAAACTTTCAGGCCTACAAGTGAAATACTTTTTGAGCTATGCATGAACAAGTTGAAAATTGCAAATTTATACTACTGTAAGTCAAGGGCAATAACTCTAACAAAACTGAAAAAATCCACATGCAAAGTCCCAGGTGCATAGCTTCACAGTGATGTGAATCATTATTCCTGTAATTTAGTGATGTTGATCATTATTCCTGTAAAGTTGGTTGATTCTAACTCAAGCACTCAAGGAACAAATAACAACATAATGAAACGGTTTTTACTAAGTCAAGGGAAATAACTCTACAAATACTGGATAAATCCACAAGCGAAACCCCAGGTGCAAAACTAAATATGCTGAGCAACCTTCCCGTAAGGTTTAATGACTCTATGTCAAATCCTTTTTGAGTTACATGCGACACAAGTTGAAAATTGCAAAATTTTACTAAGTCAAGGGCAATAACTCTTAAAAATACTAAATAAATCCAGACGAAAATACCCAGGTGCACAACTACATATGCTGACCAACATTCCTGTAAAGTTTCATGACTCTAAGTCTTATACTTTTTGAGTTACAAGCGACTCTAGTTGAAAATTGCAAAATTTTACTAAGTCAAGGGCAATAACTCTAAAAATACTAAAGATATACAGACGAAAATACCCAGGTACACATGCTGATCACCATTCCTATAAAGTTTTTATGACTCTAGGGCAAATACTTTTTGAGTTAAATGCGACTCAAGTTGAAAATTGCAAAATTTTACTAAGTCAAGGGCAATAACTCTAAAAATATCCAGACAAAAATACCCAGGTACACAACTACACATGCTGATCAACATTCCTGTAAAGTTTCATGACTCTAGGTCTAATACTTTTGAGTTACATGCGACACAAGTTGAAAAATTGCAAAATTTTACTAAGTCAAGGGCAATAACTCTAAAAATACTAAACATATCCAGACGAAAATACCCAGGTGCACAACTACACATGCTGATCAACATTCCTGTAAAGTTTCATGACTCTAGGTCAAATACTTTTTGAGTTACGTGCGACACAAAAGAGAACGGACGGACGGAAGTGCCACTTAAATGGACTAAAGGGCCATTTCTTTTGTTATTTTCTTTTGTTTAATAGAGGGCCATGGCCCCTTATTCTATTGTTACGGAATGAACTTTATTGTTCTCTTTTGTTCTGTTTACTGTTAGATGGCCCCCTAACCCTATTTGGTTGCTCGGAACCCTATTTGGTTGCTTGGTTACGGACGGACGGACAAGGGAAAATCTAAATGCCCGCCACTAAAGTGGGGGCACAATAAAAACAACAAAAGCATTGCAAATTAGTTTTTATTCTTCTACTGTCTCAAACATGAGATTCCAAAAACAAAATCTATCAATATGACTAGGTTGTTTCTCATATTTGTTATACTTCTAGCTAGCTAGACTTGATTGAGCGCAAGTGATAATATAATACATGCAACAATATACGCCAACAGTTATATAAAATCAGAAAAGCTGAGTAAACTTTTTGATTCGTTTCATGAAATTCAAAATTTTACTCCACACTTAGTTATTATCAGAAACAAATGATAGACAGGAAATATAGATATTGCACCGTGTCAGTCGTAATAATAGGCATACTATCCTTTATAAAGGACATTAAAACAAGCAACAAAATAGTTGAGCTTGACAAATATTAATTAAAAGATTAAAGATCCTGACCAATAACACAATAATACAAGACTCATGTAAATCATCTGTTTGAAAAAAACAACAAAAAAACATTCGCTGAATCATGGATGAATACAAACAAGTGCTTCTTTTTGCTTTGGTTTAGAATCTCTATGAAAATGTATTTCAAGATGACATACAATTACCTAGGAGAACTAATCGAGTTTTAAACTTAAACTAACCAATATTTCTTGTCAGCCAAAAACTGTAAACATTTTATATGAATATCTTGTCAGGATAAACTTAAACATAACGGCATTCGAATAAGCTTAAACATAACGGCATTCGAATAAGCTTAAACATAACGGCATTCGAATAAGCTTAAACATAACGGCATTCGAATAACGAATCATGTTGGAAAATATGTGATGCGTATGGCATTCAACCTAACAAAGGCAATTCCTATTAGAAAAAATATTTCCACTGATAAAAGTCAGACTAATGGTTATATAATTAACCATACAAGTGTTGGAACTTAAAAAGATAACTTTCTGCCACCAGTAGAGCCAGACCATCCTGCACGTCCACGCGCCTGACCAGGCTCTATAATGTTAGAAGGATGACCTAACATTTTCATCTTGATATCTCGAAAATGGATAAAATGGAAGCTTGACTATTTCATTTCAAGAATTCAGCTGATTTAGGGCTAAAAGGTTAATTATTGTGGAGTACGGGGGGTTTAAATTTTTTTGGGAATTTTTGATATGCTGAAAACTATAAAAAAACCACAAGTAGTAAAGCCCCGCATTTGAAACGACCCCGGGGGGGAAAGAATTCAATATTTCTTTCAACGGGCAAAGGGAAGGGCGCTGGAAAACGGGGCAACAAAAATAAAAAAGAAGGGAATTTTTGGAACTGTGATGGGGGCACCCAGGGGAATGATTTGCGGGGTAAAAGGACGATATTTTTCGGAAAATTTATTTTTGGGGGAACCCATTAAAACTGATATTTTAATATCTAAAAACAGACTCTTGCTTTATTGGAGGGGCTGCCTTTTCGAAAAAGAATGGGGAAATCTAAATTGGCCGTATATGAGGGCATCTGGTACATCTCTGGTGCGGGATATCATTTCATTTCCTGGCATCACGACTTCGGTACCAGGTTGAAGTCTTTGATTAATAGCATCTTGTCCAAAGTGAAGGATTGGTGTAGTCACTTTTTCTTGAGGTTTCTCATTTATTTTTGCATACGATTCACGGGGGGACATATCCTGGACCACCGTCTATATAATGATTAGAGCGTTTGCTCTTCTCTGTTGTCAATGCAAATTGTTTCCATCCGTCTTTGTCGGTCTTTATGCGCCATCATGATATGCTTACGTATGACTGCATAATCACCAAATGACTTGAAGCAAAGCTTGCAAGAATACGGCTTGTCACCTATACCAGGAAAGAATAAAATGTTAATACGCATAAACTTAATGGCTAACACTATCTTACAACTTGTATACAGTTTCTTAAATACAAATGTAACTCATGAATTTTTACAAACTATTTTCAAATGAAAATTAAAAGAACAAAGGAACCATGATAGAAATAAATATACATGTACACATGAACATCGGCCACTAACTTGACCTCTCGCCGAGTTAATATAAAAGAGCAAGTATATGCCATAAGTGAGGAAACGAAATAGTACAATGATTCAAACATAATTGAGCATTAACTTTATTAATGTACACTGTATCATTAATGGGAACATAAACGTTAAAAGGAAATTTTATAATAATGCTGCAGAAGAGTTCTGCCCCTTCGCCTACATAATATTTTACAACCTATATATTTTAGGCGGGCGAATACTTAACAAGAGCTGTCAGAAGGACAGCGCGCTCGACTTTTTTAGTGCTTGCCTATAAAACAAAACTTTGACAGTTAAGGGCACACAAGACTTTAACTAGGAATTTCTAAGTACAAATCAAGAAACATTTTCACAGAGTTATCTTCTCTTGCTTACAGATAGGTCTCATGATGGCACATAAGAACTCCAACTTCCAAAGTAATATCTCAAATGGTTAAGTCAACAAGTGGACAAGAATGAAAATTTTAACTGAGTTTCTAAGTCAAAAAGGGCCATAATTCAAATAAAATCCTTAACAGAATTACCTTCTCCTGCCCATGTTTTGGGACCATGATGGTAAACAAGTATTCCAACTTTCAATTTAATATCTCAACCAGTTCAGTCAAAAAGTTGACTGGTACAAAAAAGTTAACCAAGATTCTAAGTCGATAAAAGGCCTTAATTTTTAAAACAAATCCCTGACAGAGTTACCTTCTCTTGCGTACAGATGGGGGTAATGATGTGAAATAGCATTAAAAGTTTCAAAGCAATATCTCAAAGGGTTAAGGCAATAAGTGGATTTTACCCATATTCAATGTATTTTCTAAGTCAAAAAGGGGCATAATTCTGTCAAAAACCTTGACAGAGTTATGTCCTCTTGTCTGTTGATGAAGGTCGTGATGGTAAACAAGTATGGTCAGTTTCAAAGCAATACCTCCAATGGTTTTGAAATAAAGTGAGGTGGTACAAAAAACTTAACCAAGCTCAATACACTTTCTAAGTCAAAAAAGGGCCATAATTCTGTCAAAAACCTTGACAGAGTTATGTACTCCTGTCTGTAGATGGAGGTTATGATGGTGAACAAGTATGGTAAGTTTCAAAGCCATACTTGTAATACTTCTGAAATAAAGTGGGGTGGTACGAAAAACTTAACCAAGGTGTGACGCCAACGCTAACGCCGACGCCGACGCCGGGGCGAGTAGGATAGCTCCCCTTTTCATAGAAAAGTCGAGCTAAAAACGTTCATTATTCTCAGAAATACGACTTTCGTTCTGACAACACTTTTCTTATGAGATATAATATGTTATATCAGCCACTGACACTTGGCGTTGAACATGCATAAAATTTGTTATACGCCAATAAAATATTTGACTCGACTTGTTTTAACTTATTTCCACAACAATCAGGATAGGTTAAATGCTTACCTGTATGGATACGTTCATGGCGTAAAAGGGACTGTTTCTGTGTAAATTCACGGCCACACACACTACATATGTGATCTTTCTTATCTTTGTGTGTTTTCATGTGAATCAGTAAACAGGTTTGTTGGCGAAAAGCCTTCTGACACACAGTACACTGAAATCTTCGCACAGTATCGTGCATGTAACGGTGCTCTTTTAAAGATTTGTCATACGTGAAGGATTTTCCACAAACCTCACATGTGTATGGACGGATTCCAGCATGAACATTGGCATGCTGCCTGTATGAACGGATCTGACTGAAAGTTTTACCACATGTAGGACAACTGTAAGTCTTCTTCACGCCGAGGTGCTTTGACTTTATATGAGAACTCAGAGAAAATTTCGTTGTAAACTCCTGCTCACAGATTTGGCATTTAAACTTTGGCTGAACATATCCCTCCGCGTGGGTTGCTGTATGCCTATCGTACACGTATTTTGATTTATAATTCTTATTACACACAAGGCAAACAAACACTTGTCCATGGTGCACTATCTTTTTATGCCTGGACAGATCTTTCTCAAAAACGAAAGTTTTCTCACATTCGTCACAAGAGAACATTGGTTTTCTGGCAATGATCCGTTAGGCAGGAGACCATGGACTCTTCCCATATGTTCCGAGAGCCTTTTCTTTCTGTATCCCTGATAATCACATTCAGTACACTTATAAATCTGTTTCCCTTTCACTTCTGATGTTAACTTAACTTCTGATATCTTGTCAAGCTTATTTTACGAGATCTTTTTATTATAAGAACTGTCAAGTTTGATACTGTTTAAATCTAGTTTCTCAGCGTCTGTTCGCATTGGTTCTTCTTTTCCGTCAGATGTACTCCCTGAAACACATTAAAGGTAATTTTGTATAAAAATTAAAGGAATAATGCTTATCAAGTGTGTAATTCAAGAAATTTAATTATGCCATCTTTCAGCTCCTTTGGAAAAAAAAAGTTTAATACTAGAGCAAATTGCAAATTAAGTGAACACAGATTCCTACTAAAGTGTTAACCGGAAGAGCCATGCTATTACCTATTGCTACTTTTAGACGATTAAACAATTTCATTTCTACACAGGCAGCATTGCTAATAAGAACTGTTACCCATTTTTGTTATGAAATTGCATTTCTGATATCAACATTTCTATACAACATGTAATTCAAGTAATTTCAAAATGAAAATGTGTTAATTAACAAGAGGGCCATGATGGCCCTGAGGTCGCTCACCTGTATATAGGCCCCCGGAGCGGGGCCAGTTTAAACCCCAGGGCTTTTATTTGAACAAACTTGGAAGACACTCATTAGAAGATGTTTCACAATGTTAAGTTTTTACTACACACATGTAATGAAAAACAATGATTTCACCCCCCCCCCCCCCCCCGGCAGAGCCAATTTTCACCCAAGGGCTTTTATTTGAACAAACTTGGTAGACATCCATAAGAAGATATTTCATGCTAAACATCTAAGCTCTAGTTCATTGGGTTTTTTAAAAGAAGATTTTTAAGTTTTTACTACACACATATAGTTAAAAACAATGACACCCCTGGGGCGGGGCCAGTTTTGACCCCGGGGCTTTTATTTGAACAAACTTTGTAGACACTTATTAGAAGATGTTTCATGCTTAATATCTAACTCTAGCTATTTGGGTTTTTTCAAAGAAGATTTTTTAAGTTTTTACTATATGCATATAGGGAAAATCAAGACCCCCGGGGCGGGGCCAATTTTGACCCCAGGGCTATTATTTGAACAAACTTTGTAGACACTCACTAGAAGATGTTTCATGCTTAATATCTAAACTCTAGCTATTTGGGTTTTTTCAAAGAAGATTATTTAAGTTTTTGCTATACACATATAAGGAAAATCATAACCCCCTGGGCGGGGCCAATTTTGACCCCAGGGCTTTTATTTGAACAAACTTGGTAGACACCCATTAGAAGATGTTTTATGCTGAATATCTTAGCTCTAGCTCTTTGGGTTCTTTCAAAGAAGATTTTGTAAGTTTTTACTATATGCATATAGGGAAAATCAATGACCTCCTGGGGCGGGGCCAATTTTGACCCCAGGGATTTTATTTGAACAAACTTGGTAGACACTCACTAGAAGATATTCCATGCCAAATATCTAAGCTCTAGCTCTTAGGGTTTTTTAAAAGAAGATATTTAAAGGTTTTTCTTTCGGTTACCATGGCAACCAGAGTTCTGCATGGAATTAAATTCTTTGAACAATTTTTAAAGGTGATCACCAAAGGAACATTCCTGTGAAGTTTGGATGAAATTGGCTCAGTGGTTTATGAGGAGATGTCATTTAAAGCAAAAGTTTACGGACGGACGACGGACGGACGCCGGACGGACGGACGCCGGACGAAAAGCGATCACAAAAGCTCACCCTGTCACTTTGTGACAGGTGAGCTAAAAACTCTGAAATTAAGCAGTTGAAAGTAAAAACTGAATTGTGGTTCTATACGGGTAACAAGGGCAAACCTTTATCATGGTTTGCATTCAAGCAATGCATAACTAAAGTTCCAAACTATAAACAGATTTTATATATAATAATAAAATGCAAACCTTTAAGAACACCCAACATAGCAAAAAACTGAAAATGTTACAGGTGAACCTTTTTACAGACGGTAGAGGTAATTACAAACTACTGTCCAGGCCACCTAGCACCATCTTAATCAGAATTCAAAATTTATGTATGGAAATGGTGAAATTTAGAATTCATTTTACATCAACATAAAATGTGATTATATGGCAATTATCATAGAATCTTCAATGTGACAATATCTGGCAATTCAATGAAAGTGATATGCTGTTCCCAAAGAAAAAAGAAGTGTGTGTGCCTTAAATACAAACAATATACGAGCCGCGTCATGACAAAACCAACATAGTGGGTTTGCGACCAGCATGGATCAAGACAAGCCTGCGCCTCCGCGCAGTCTGATCAGGATCCATGCTGTTCGCTATCAGTTTCTCTACTTGTAATAGAGTTGGTAAGCGAACAGTATGGATCCTGATCAGACTGCGCGAAAGCGCAGGCTGGTCTGGATCCATGCTGGTCGCAAACACACTATGTTGGTTTTGTCGTGACACAGCTCATATACTATCTGTTCCATGAAAGTGGTATACTGTTCCACAGAAAAGAATGTAGGCCCAAAATGAAAACAATGTACCATCTTTTCTTGCAGTTCTCTCCTCTAAACCCTTTACATCTGAAGTGATTGGCTTCTTTCCTCTGTTGTGTTTTTCTAATTTCTCTGATGTTTTTTTCCTGACTCTCTTGACAGATGGTCTTGACTTTTTCACCTTTAACTGTGATGTTTTCTGAATAGTTAAGATATTTAGTAAAGTACTATTAACCATGCAAATAATTTAGTTCTGTATAGAAAGAGACATCATCAAAGACTCTTTACATGATTATGTACAATACCCAAATGAAGATCCAAACTAAAATATCATTTAGATATAAAATTGGGTTGAAAACATATTTTCTAGGGCCATTATCTATTAAACTTAAATAGAGGTTCACTAAAGCAGTGCTACAAGCTAAGCATCTTAGCTCTAGGCCATGCAGTTTCTCACAAGAAAGTCTAAATGTTTTTCATACATGTATATATGTATATAAACCTTTGTTAAATAAATAACCCCCATGATTGGGACCAATTTTGCACATATGTTTATAAAAAAGCGAAATATTCAAGTTTTTGATCTTGCAGTTTCACACAAAAAGATTTCAAAGTTTTTCTTTTATACAAGACCATGTAAAAATAAGTGACCCTCAGGCAGTGTCAATTTTAACCTGGGATATATTTCAGCTCTGTAGATGACAACAAAAGAAAGCTACATATCTAAGCTCTGGGAGCTGTTGTTTATGAAAAGATAGTTTTTAAGGTCTGTTTCCTATAAAAATAAAAAATTGATAGAGGATTTTTATCCTTTGGAAATGGTTTATATAACTGTTTTCAATACAGAAATCAATTATCAATGCTACATGCAGCTGCCACATATCTAAGCTCTAGGGCATGTAGTTTTTACAAGAAGAAGATAAAAATGTGTCTTTCATCATAAGTCTATGTGAACAAAATAATACCAATCGGTTTTGCATACAACATATGTTACACATATGTTATACTGTGCCAGCCAAGTCTGATAAAAATTATGCATTACATTGGAAAAAATTATACACCCTTAGTAGAGGGCCAATTAATGACCATTCTAGTGAAGTTTCGTAAAAATCTACTATGTTTTTAAAGAGATGTTGTTTAAACAAATTGTGGATACAGTTGGACTACACAAGATGGACATCATGTTAAATGTATTACAAAATCAGTAAAAATAAATTATACATGTAAATTATCCCATCAATTAGCTAAAAGGTAGACTTTCTGAACTATAAATGAGCCGAGTCATGACAAAACCAACATAATGGGTTTGCGACCAGCAGGGATCCAGACTAGCCTGCGCATCTGCGCAGTCTGATCAGGATCCATGCTGTTCGCTATTAGTTTCTCTACTTTTTATAGAGTATGTAAGCGAACAGCATGGATCCTGATCAGAGTGCGCGGATGCGCAGGCTGGTCTGGATCAATGCTGGTCGCAAACGCACTATGTTGGTTTTGTCGTGACGCGGCTCAAATAAGTTATATACCTTTCCTACTGAGTCCTGATCCTGTTCCTTTTTGCCCTCATCTTGAGATATATTTTCAGCATCATGAATATTACCACCATTTCTTGTGTCTGGAACATCATTATTGATCATATTTACCTCATGCACTGGTACAAATCTTTCAAAAGTAGACTCAGCCTGTTCACAAATAGAGTTAATTCAGTTTATGATTACCATTACAGTCAAACTTGCAGCGATTAATCTTGCTTATAAAATATTATCAAGAAATTTACTTAGCTTACTTAAGGATATAATTCAGCATCAAGATGGTCATAAAGGCCCTAAATAGCACACTCGAGATTGGTCATTTGGACACACAGACGGACAAGGGCAAATCTAAATGCATCCCCATAAGTGGGGGGCACAAAAATTTTCAAACCAAATGGCACTAACCTGAGGATTCATATTGTCGTTATTGCTGAACACAGCAGAATGATCACTTGCAGCATTTCCATAGACTTGTTGACCTTTAAAGTTGGTTGCTATGGTTACAACTTGTGTTGTCATGGCAACTGTTGATCTATCTGAGTGTGCAATTTTCTTGTCCAAGGCATCTGCACTGTTTTGAAAAGAAGCTTGTCCAGCAGAATGTTCATTAGAATACAGCACAGATTGGTTTTCAGTTGCCGTGGCAACCTCTAAACTTTTCATAAACTCTTCTCCAGTTGGCATTGATTTCAGAAAATCACTTGGATTATTCTGGATCATTTGGTTGTTTGATACAACAGTGTTATTGCTATTTATGTGGTGGCTTGGTGGACCAGCATTGGGAATACCTACATTGTCATGTTCAGCCTTTGTTGCCATGGAAATGATATCCGTATTAGTGTTGTTTATAGCAGAGTTATTTTCACTATCATGTAACACAATACGGGAGAAGTCTTTGGCAGTAAATGTCTTTGATCCAACAGGCAGATCTGTAAAATCTTCAAATGACGCTGTGCCGTCTTTGAAATCATGCATTTCCATCTATGAAATAATAACACATATTTTAATAATATAAATTAAGACATTAATCAGTCTTACATCAGACTTTGGTGTTTAAATTTGTTTGGTTATAACATCTTTAGTAACACCCTAGTAAAACTTGAAAAAAAAAAGATTTAAAATCATATTTACAAATTAATTTAAATATAGATTCCATACAAGCCTTCTTTTCATTTTGAAAGTGATAAATATGTTTGATATTTTATTTTTGCAGCCATCTGACAAATCTATTTTTTTTTAAATGCTTAACTAATGAACCCTAACCTATTTAAATTTTCATTATCAGTCAATTTATTAGACTGGTTAATTAATTAAAGCTGATTTAGCAATTTGAAAGTAATTACATGTTCTGATTCATTTAAAACACTGCAATCCTATTGGACAAAAAGAAATATTAATAACTTGTAGCAATTAGTCAATGTAACATTTTTTATTGCTGAACATAATAACAAACAAGAGCTGTCTATAAGTCAGTGTACTCTACTGTTCTTAGTGCATGACATAGCCTGGGATTCGGACGTTGATATATTTTGCTTATTCATCACATACGTGCTATTATTTTACTCATTCGATCATGTTTTTGATAGTATCAACTGTCGATTTGCGATCAGAAGCACAATAAGAATCGACAGACTGGAACCCTTGTTATTCATGACAGTACTGTAAAAAAGGGGCATAACTATGTAAAAAGATATGGGTATACTTTATGGGACCTGTGCCCATCATGTAAGACAGTCACACAGAACAAGTGTGTGATGTTTTAACCCATTCCCTTTTGTTGTTTTGGAGATACCAGCCTGCATGGAAAACATAACCTGAGCGTGACTGCAACGCCCATACTGACATGAGTACATTGGCTCTCCCATTCTTGGTTGGAATAGTCATGCTTAAAATTCCTTACTGTTCAAATGTTACATAATCATTGTATCGTAGCTCTAAATATATTTTGACAAAATGTTCACAAACAGCATAACAGTTAACATACTTTTATCCCATTACTTTCACAAGGAATACCGTCATTGGCTACTTCTGGAGGGTTGAAACTTGTTTCTAATTCTTCAGAATTCTGGAAATTTCTGAAATAAGACAGAATACAAATGTACAGATCAGTAACATTCAGCATCCCTAAACATTGCAAACAACAACAACAACAACAACAAAATAAATACAAACAAATAACACATAATGAGTTCTGAAATTTTGAAAGAGAAATTTTCAAAATATTTTTTAAGGTTTGGATGTCTTATTTTTATAAGGTTTAATAGTATTGGTCTTATTGCAAATTTCCAACCTTTTTGTTGTGTAGGAAGAACAAAGATTTTCCTATGTATATCATGAAAATATCAGGAAAATGAGGGCACCTATGAAGAAGCATTAAGCCACTGTAAGTTAGGCACAAAAACCTCACCGAGGGCACCTGGGAAGAAGCATTAAGCCACTGTAAGTTAGGCACAAAAACCTCACTGAGGGCACCTGGGAAAAAGCAATTTGCTTCTGTAAGTCAGTAGGTAACTGTAAGTCAGGCTAATGAAGGCACCTGAGAAGGGATGTCCAAGAATACACACTTAGACTAAAGGGCACAATCATGTCTTGGGACAGGAGTTGGGGGAAAAATGTCCAAGACTTCTGTTCTTTGATGGGCTTTTATTTTCTCAGCTTTACTTGTGGAAGACCTCAGGTTACCTTTTGTACATTATTTAAGGTACATTTCTGTAACCATGTAGAGCCACCAACAAAACGTTCACTTACAATTATCATAATTTGTTACCTTGGACCTCCCTTTCATTCCACTAAACAGACTTCATAATATTTTTTTTATTTAAAAAATATTCCATTTAATCTTTTGCAGTATTCCTGATCAAACATATTACTAACCTTTGTTTACTTTCATTATCAGTATTTGATACAGCTTCCCCTTGTAATTCTTTATCATTCCTAGCCAGTTTAGTATCCACTTCCTGCAACCTTTTGTCAGGAACTTCAGTAATATTTCCCATCATCTCAGAAGCAGGAATTTGATTTAACATGGCCTGGGGATCATAGTCTCCAAACATACTGCTGAATGAATCACTGTCTGAGTCTGACAACTGTACTGGCCTTGTATTGTTCACATTGTACTGGTTTTCTGAAAAGACTGCTTCATTAACATGTACTCTACCATTTTTAACATCTGTATGATTGTAAAAGTCTGATACATTTAAATGTCCACTTGTTGTAGAATTTTGATTAATAGCCTCATTGATACAAGGAACCAATCCTGGACTTTGAGTAGTCATTTTTGAATTTACAGTGTATGTTGTTACCATGGAGGTGTTAAATTGATTTGCCATTTCCATATTCATAGCACCAGATGAACAAAGTAAAGGTTGGCCATTGCTCATGAAACTGATAGTATTTTCTTTAGAACATCCTGGCATTCCATATCCATATCCTTGGGGAACATCTGAGGGCATACGAGTTGATGGTGGTATTGGATTTAACATATCCTCCACTGCAAATGTTTCACAATTATCTTCAGTTACTTTTGCCACTGGTAATATAGCCCCCTTAGGAATTCCCTTTTCCAATGGCTTTCCCATCTGATCTTTGTTCTTCTCTAAAATTTTCTTCAACTCTTCTTTTGTGACCTTTGTATTATTGTGCGACTTTTCAAAGTCTTCTAAGACAGAGTCAATGTCTAGGCTACATGCATCAGCGAACGTTTTATCTTGGTATTGCAAGTAGAATACTGGCTCAGGAACACCGGAATATGGACTCTCTTTAGCAGCATGTCTCCCTCGTTTTGGATTTCCTATAAAAGATAAAATATATATGAAATCAAACCTGTACACATGTAAATGCATCTGCCTTATTCATACATGTAATGTACATACAGAACAGCTTTAACAATTTTTCCAAAGTCTGCCAATCCCCGTGATTTTTTTAAAGGTGGATTTTCACTGTGACACCCCTGGACAGTTGTGATGTTCTGCTCATCATCCGATCTGGTAATGCTTCACCACAGAATATCCTCATCGTGGATCACTGTTAAATATTGCAGGGTCATTTCGCTCTATAATGGATGACCATCTATCAATTTATTACATGTATTTACTTGCATCTGTGAAAAATAAGGCAACATTTGTCTTCTATAATTTCTGAATGGCAGATATTTGCACACCTGTTTTAAAAATGTTAAAATCTTTAATGTTAGTTACCAAAATTCAATGCCAATTGTTGAAATTCCAAAGCGCTAAAGTACACAAAATAAACCTGCACAAAGTAGCATCCATAATTAAATAAAATATAATGTTTCCATTGTTAAATAATATACACAAAATTTACACAAAAGATGACCTCTGACAAATGACTAGTCAGCTCTACAAAAGAATCTGTCAATCTTTGATGTCTACACATGTGTAGTCCCTGCCAATTCATCAAAGAAGTACCAATACTCAATTGACTTCCACCCTTTTTTATATCAGAAAAAAACCTGTCATCTTTTTTGCGAAAGAAACGATAACACATAATCAATTATTGCTCAAAAGTAAAAATAAAATGTTGGATGATAATCGTGCATTTTGATTGTGATATTTTTGTAACATTTTTTTACGCAAATGGAACTTCAAAACTACCGACTTTTATACATATACAGATTGTTACGGCTGTTATTATTTACCAATGGGTAAGTGTTATTGATTTATTTTCTAACAAGACTGCATTGTAATACATGTATGTGAACATTTATAATTGTAATTTGTATGAGATATTTAGCACGGCATATCTCTGTAACTTTCCACTGGGGTTTGCGGGGATGTTTTAACCGGTCTGCGGTGATTTGTCACTGTGACTGACCCTAGGATGTCCCCCAGTATTTTCAACTAGCCGTTACAAGTGTCCGCAGAGACAAAGCTGAAAGTGCAAAAATCGCTTGAGCTGTGCTTATTGCACTTGAATCAAGATATTGTATTAATTTTAGGCAAAGTCAATATTTCAACCTTTAAAGTGAGCTTCTGACCCAAACAAATCTGGATATTAACTGTATCCAACTTTAACCTTGTGTCACCCTTGTCAGGAGGATGTGAAAAAGAATACACCCATTGACAGTCTCTATATGAACTACGTAAATAACCGAGGTATGTCAAGTGAAAAAACACGAGTTGTTTTCCTTATCTTCGAGTAAATTCGATATCCCTAATGCTGAAACAATGCAAATTTAGCCATTTTTAAACCGCTAGTTTGGGGCCATTTAATGTCAGATTAAAAAAATTATTACATCAATGAAAAGCTTTTGATCTTAACTTCGTCTCAGTATATATTTCAACACATTATTTGACACTGAAGGTATTTAAATTTACAGTTAAACCTACCAATAGTCAGACCATTTTACATAAGTTTTATACAGCGAGATATGCAATTGGTTATCTTTACTTGCAATTCTACTGATAAGAATAGCCTGTCATCTGCTAGTTCGGAAACTGTCAATCCGTGTGTTGTAGTTTGTGCAATATACATGTATGCATGTTTAATGTATTTATATGCATACGCAGACTTATGTTTTTCATCTTATAGCAAGATTTTCCCACAGAAAGTGCTGTGGGTTAATAAGCATTTTCGACATGATTTTGCTTTGCCAAGAAGTATAAATATTATAAAGCAATGTCATATTTATTGGCCTACATTTACATGTTAACACAACAATCAACTGCCAATTAATTTACTGACCTTTTCCTCGGACTAAAAGTGGTTCTTTTTCTGTGATCTGCTCTGTTTCTGATGTCTGAGGAACTTCAACATTATTGTATTCATCAGGAACATTTCCTGACTTTGATAATGGAGTTATCTTAGTACCCGATATATCTGCCTTGATGTCAACACTCTCAGAGCTGTTTTCAGTAACCTTTTCATTAAATTTCAATTTTAATAAGCTTTTGTGTGCTTTCCTTACTGCTTCCCAATGGCCAACTATATTAAAAGTACTGTTCGATTTTGTGAATTTCACTCCAAATTCTTTTTCTACCCTCACAAATTTTGATGCTAATTTTTCGGGATCAAAACTTTCAACAAATGCCGGGGTTAAACGTGCTACAGCGGCTGCAAAAACACCCATCATTTTCAATGTTAATTAACACCATTCATTAATGAAAAAATCTATTGAACTTTAAAAGGAAAATGCAATTTAGCATGTTTAATTTTTTATTATTTACACCGGAAGTAGAAATTAGAGGTGATTGATTAGAAAGTAAGAACGATAACTTACTTGTCAAATAGCGGTATGTTGCTTAAAACGAAATGAACGGTAAAACTTAAACACGCAAGGGAGGTCATGATCTTTGCTGAGCTACACCCATTTTGTATGGGAATTTTAAGATCCTGTATGCTGTAATTAAGGTTGTTTCCACACTTAAGTGAAATTTTAGCTATATATGTATATAATAAAGAAAAAACAAGACAGAATAGAAAACCTCATAGAGAGCACGTACTAAACCAGATATCATCATTGCCACAGAAACATGGCTGGACCCCTCTATCACCGACAACCAAGTTTTCCCAGACAACTTCAAACTTTGGCGAAATGATCGCAAGACAGGCACAGGCGGTGGAGTACTCATCGCAGTCAAGGATTCAATACTCAGCACAGACATCCCAGAACTCCAAACAGACTGTGAGATAGTCTGGGCCAAGGTCAACATTGTTGGAGCCAAATCATAACTTATTTGCTCATTCTACCATCCTAAAACATCAGATGAACACAGCCTACTTCAATTCCAAGAATCTGTTAGTCGTGCAACATCAATTAAAGACTCTGTTCTACTCATTGCGGGAGACTTTAACCTCCCAGGCTGGGACTGGAAATCAAAAACACTGAAAGCAGGCACAGCCCATGCACGCCTCCATTATCAGTTCTCAGACTGCCTAGATGACAAGGGACTTACCCAAATTGTTGAAGATACAACAAGAAATAACAACACTCTTGACCTTGTAATAACAAATCTCCCTAGCAAAGTACAGCAAGTAACTACAATGCCCGGCATATCTGACCATAACACTGTCTTCGTTGAGCTTGACCTCAGCCCTGTCACCCACACTCAAACACCCCGGAAGATCCCACTATACAAGAAGGCTAGATGGGATAGCATGAAGGAAGACATGGCAACACTCCACCAAACTATCAAGTCCATGGCGGAAAACAACACCGACATCAACACTATCTGGGACAAATTTACAATTACACTGAAAACAAGTATACAACAACATATCCCCCACAAAACTGCTAGGCCAAGAGAAACATCACCATGGATTGACAAAAGCATCAAAAGACTTATTCGAAAACGTGACCGTCTCCATAAGAAAATGAAAAAATCTCAAGACAAACAACATCAAAGAAATTACAAGACCTGCAAACACTTAGTACAGAAGAAACTCCGACAAGTCTACTGGACATATGTCGATAATATTGTAACGCCGCAGCCTTCAGATCCAAACATACACAGCAGTCAGAAACGTTTCTGGACCTTCATAAAACACAAGAAGAAAGACAATCAAACAATTACTGGACTAAAAGAACATGGACAACTCCACTCCGATCCTAAGTCCAAAGCTAACGTTCTAAATCGGCAGTTCAAATCTGTATTCACAGACAACATCAATATCACTGCTGATGACTTCAAGAAGGGGGACTACGTCAATCCACAATCAACACATCCTGTAGCCCCTGAAATATCGATAACCACAAACGGAATCACCAAACTCCTTCTTGCACTGAACCCACATAAAGCTGCAGGACCCGACACCATAAGTCCTCGCATCCTCAAGGAATTGGCATCTGACATCGCTCCAATACTCAACACCATCTTCACTCTGTCACTTGAAAATAGCACCATCCCTAATGACTGGAAGAAAGCCAATGTATCCCCAGTCTACAAGAAAGGCAGCAGATATAAACCAGAAAACTATCGCCCTATCTCCCTAACGTGCATCTGCTGCAAGCTCCTAGAACACATTGTCACCAGCCACATCATGAACCATGCCGAAAAACAAAAGATTCTCTATCCTCTCCAACATGGCTTCAGAAAGGGCAGATCCTGTGGAAACACAGCTTCTTGAATTCACAGATGACATAACCCGGAACATGGAAAATGGCAAACAGACTGATGTTCTCATCATGGACTTCGCCAAGGCCTTCGACAAAGTTTGTCACAGCCTTTTATCCCACAAACTGGAGCACTACGGCATCAGAGGCAAGACCAACCTGTGGATTCAGGCTTTCTTAAGCAACCGATCCCAATCTGTAGTCTTGGAAGGGGTAACCTCAGATACAGTATCTGTAGAATCCGGCGTCCCAAAGGGCTCAGTCCTTGGCCCGAGTCTGTTCCTCTTCTACATAAATGACATCCCAGAGGGTCTCAACGCAGTCGTCCGATTATTTGCAGATGATACGCTGGCCTATCTTGCCATCACAAACAAGTCTGACTGTTCCACCCTACAAGCTGACCTCGACAAACTAGCTGTCTGGGAAGAGAAATGGAAAATGTCATTCCATCCAGACAAATGCCAAGTCCTCACCATCTCCAAGAAAAGAAGCCCCATCTGCCATAACTACACTCTTCATGGTCATACTTTAGAGCACGTTACATCAGCTAAATACCTTGGATGCACCCTGAATAACAACATAGACTGGGGCCAACATATACACAACATTTGTAACAAAGCCAACCGCACCACCAGCTTCCTGCGAAGAAACCTCAACATCGCCTCTACTTCCACCAAAGAAACAGCCTACAAAGCTCTAGTCCGCCCCACAGTAGAGTATGCGAGCACTGTCTGGGACCCCCACGAGAAGGGAGACATACACCGTCTAGACATGGTCCAACGACGTGCTGCACGGTTTGTTAAAAACAAGTACCACAACAGGTCCAGCGTCACAGACATGCTTGCAGATCTTGAATGGAAACCATTACAAGAACGTCGAAAGGAGGCCAGACTGATCATGCTCTACAAAGTCATCAACAACAAGGTCGCTCTAGACAATTCACAACTCATACCCTCCAACTCCACATCTACAAGAAATTCACACAACCTAACCTACAAGATACCCTACTGCCGTACACAATACCGTCAACAATCCTTCTTCCCACGTACCATCAAAGACTGGAACAGCCTACCTCCAGACGCTACGTCAGCCGGTACAGTTGAGTCATTCCGTACTCATCTGTCCCAACTCTATATCTAAACCACACTCTTGTCCGTTTTTAACCTGCACTGTATATATTCCTCACTATTTTTTACTCTTTCTTTCCGTCTTGCGCATTAACCTGGCAGTAAACTTCAGTTAGTTGAAGGTGGCCAGTATATTGGAAGAAGAAGAAGAAGAATAATGCTTCTACAACAATTATCAAATATCGAAGAATATTTAATATGTACTGCAAATATTTGTCCACAATATATACGATCATTAAAATATATGCATTCATTTCTTACTGAAAAATAAGACTTTTGAAAATAAATTTTGAATTACATGTACCTCCCTTTATTAACATGAAATGTAAATTCGGTAATATCTTTACCTTTACTTTTTTTGGAACTTACACTATTGATAAATCTTCATTTGAGCATTAGATTTATGATATAAAACCATAAAAAATGAGTTACAGGATCTTTAAAGTTACTAGGCGCTGCCTCTTATGTCAACTATCTGTTCATAACATTTCAATGATTACGTTGTCTGATCTGGTTTTGATAATTGAGCCGTGTCACGACAAAACCAACATAATGGGTTTGCAACCAGCATTGATCCAGACCAGCCTGCGCATCCGCGCAGTCTGATCAGGATCCATGCTGTTCGCTATCAGTTTCTCTACTTGTTATATGGTTTGTAAGCGAACAGCATGGATCCTGATCCGACTGCTCGAAGGCGCAGGCTGGTCTGGATCCATGCTGGTCGCAAACGCACTATGTTGGTTCTGTCGTGACACGGCTCATAGTACCGACAGTTTGCGCCAAAACAACCATTTCTGACAAATCATTAAATTTTGATGGCGAAAAAAGTTTTAATATAAAGGCAGTTCCTTATTCAACGTTGGTTTATAAACATGTACCCGTTATATGTGATGAACCACAACAATATACCTAGCTATTTAAGAAATTAGGCCATTTCAAATGCATCAGAGTATTCGACCCGATGTTGATGCTACTGAAACTATTTGTTTTGATTGTAAATTTTTGTTGTTTATAACAAAGAAGTTACTCGTGCTAGTCAATACAGAACTATATATCTAAATGATTGGAAAAATCATATATAGCACTGACAATAGGTCTTACGATGAATCAGCAAAAATCTGGTAAAACAGTTTCATATTATTCTTTAATTTATTATTCTTTATTTCTAACAAACTGCTACCCATAAACCTATATAAGGCCTAGCTCATAACATTGATATGCAGCTCCTTGCCAGAGACTTATACAACAAATAGTACAGTTTCGTGCCCTACCTTTAAAAGGTCATACTTGAATATAGCATTCTACCACAGTTTTTTGTATTCTTTTAATCGGCTTTCGACGAATTGTCTTGCAAAAGACAGAAATTAGCTCTCTCTATATTTTTTATGTGTTATACGTATATGTTTTCATCACACTGGAAACTATTTTGATGTGGTATCTGTATATACACATGACAAAATAAACACCTATTGTATATTCCCCGTACAGTAAGTATGCTGTTAGTGGCATAAGTAGGAGTTTAAAATAAAATAAATAACTATATAAGTAATAGGTAAACGTGTGGCATAGTGTTTCATCGCATATTTATTATGATTACTAACTGGTATGTTTCTGATATACAATAGAACAGATTCAGGGCATAATGTAATTCCATTTCTCTTTCCGTATATTTTGTACGTAGAGGTTATTACATGGGGCAAGTGTGCCTTTAGTCCATATCACCGATCATTTTAATCACATCTTACCTTGTGACACACCGTATCCTGTTTACTAGTTAAAAACAATGATCATTATACAAAGGATCCTGTTTACATTGTGACACACAGTTTCCTGTTTACTGGTTAAAAGCTATGATAAACATGTACATAGGATTCTGTTTATTCGGATCAAAGTTCAGATTATCCAAAATGTCTTGTAAAATAAAATTATATAAGTAGCGCATTTACAGTTTTATATTATTTATATATTTACATAATAATCAAATCTCAACTTCTTGGTTGAC